AATAAACATGAGGTCAGTCTGTAATAAACATGAGGTCACTATGTAGTAAACATGATGCATTTTATCCATACTTAATTTTATAATAATAATAATTATTATTATTATTATTATTGTTATTGTTGTTATTATTATTTTCATCATCATTTCATCATCATTATTATTATTATTATTATTATTCATTCATTCATTCATTATCCAAACCGCTTATCCTGTTCAGGGTCGCGGGGCGCTGGAGCCGATCCCAGCTGACATTGGGCGAAGGCAGGGTACACCCTGGACAGGTCGCCAGTTCATCGCAGGGCACATGTGGAGACAGACAAACATTCACGCTCACATTCACACCTACGGGCAATTTCGAGTCTCCAAATAACCTGAGCTGCATGTCTTTGGACTGTGGGAGGAAGCCGGAGGACCCGGATTATTATTATTATCATTATTTATTTAAATGAGAAATGAACATTAGGGGGCGACATGAACCTTCACCCCTGGTTTGTACCCCGCCACTAGACTAAAGAAGTAAAATAACAACAGGAAGTAGAAGTAGAAGCAGCAGCTGCATGCTAACCTGTCGGTCTCGCGTCTTCAGGACAGATTTGATACCAGTCGTCTGATGACGTCAGAACACCGACAGTTTTAACGGTCAGTCTGTTTATTTACGGTCTCTTCTTTTTCTCTTCTTCTTGTGTTGATTTAAAGATGGCGGCTGTTTCAGCGGATCACGGTGAGTGTCCAGACCGGGAGCTAAACTAGCTAAAGTTAGCATGCTAACTGTTAGCATTAGCCAGATTGTTTTCTCAGCGAGAGTCTCGTAAATTATTAATACGCCGTTGTGTGAAAACACGTCACGGTAAAATAGTTACTGACGTCAAACATCGTGTGTGTCGTCATTCAGTTTTAGATGGTTTGGGTTAGCTTGTTAGCTTATTAGCCTGTTAGCTGCCCTGCTAACGGTTGACAAACAGCAGAGAGTCTATTAGAAAACAAACATCAGAGGAATATTAAATATATGACGTCAGCTATTGTTCACGACGGTGTAACTTTGTACATGTTGTTGGAGGGGGGCGCTTGTGCTAAGCTAAAGCTACATTACAGGTCGTTCCTTTAATGTAATAAAGGTTTTAACATCTCTCTCTCTTTGTTCCTGAAATAAATGAAGACGAAGGGTGAAAGTCATCTTTTCTATAACATATGTATCCACCTAGTCCTGTATGGGGGGGGGGGACTGTAGCTCAATAACTTTTATCAGAAAACATATCACAGGAAATAATAAAGCGCATTGTCAGCTTTTCCTGATATAAAACAAACGGAAAGATGTTGGTTTGTTTGTTGTTATTGATCAGTTTTATGTTTGTTTTATCTTTCAGGTTTCACTCTGGAGCCCTAAAACACTTTCAGTAAGATCACCATGTAGACGGACGACGGCTGAACCAACAAACAGCTGGTCACTAACTAGTCAGTAACCAGTACCAGGGTGGCGGTGGTGTCGTCCTGGTGGAGGAGCAGGCTGATGGAGAGCGACTGTCGGATCCCTGTGGTCTGTTGTCGGCCTCGAGTCCTCGTCTTCCACGCTCTGTTCTGGGGCCTTGTCTCCCTCAGGTGAGTCTGTAGGTCAGAGGTCAGTCTGTTGTTGTTGTTGTTGTTGTCTCTAACATGTTGTTGTGTTTCAGGGTGTTTGGAGCGGCTCTGCTGAGTGAAGAGAGAACAGGTGAGAACCAATCAGAAACAATCTTCAAACGGCAGCAGAAAGGACTCTGACCTCTGACCTCCCTCTTGTCATCCAGCAGTGAAACAGCTGATCGCCCCCTGCTGGCTGCTGGAGGACTTCGTGGTGACGACAGAGTGTTCACAGTGTAACGCCTTCCAGAGCGTGAGTGATGCTTTTAATGATCGCGTCTGCAGGTTTACTTAGTGAACAGCTGACTGCAGTAAAGATGCTAACGTTGTTGTGTAACAGCTGATTGTAGTAAAGATGCTAACGTTGTTGTTATTGTGTTTCAGAGGTCGTGGTCGTCCTGCGAACTGACGGGATACGTGGAAAGAGTCAACTGCACCCGATCCAACCGAGAGGAGCACAAGAGGTTTGTTTACTGAACTCTACCGTCTCTCGACTGAACTCTACCGTCTCTCGACTGAACTCTACCGTCTCTTGACTGAACTCTGCCGTCCCCCCCCTCCCCCAGCTGTCGCTCTGCAGTGATGGAGGACCATCTCTTCTGGAAGTTCGAGGCGGCCATGTTGGCTCTGACGGCCGTCTTCGCCGTCCTCGTGGTCGTCCGTCAGCGTTGGCTCGACCGTCTCGCCTCTGAGAAAGTCCGCCGCCAGATTGAGTCCATCTAGGAGACCAGGACCGAGAAAGTCTTTTATCCTGATCCAGACTCTAAGATCTATCAGGGATCAGGACTAAAGCCAAACCTGCAGAGAACGGGACTGTTTGATGTCTTCATTGAGACGTAACGAGGAGCGAAAACCAACCAGCTGTTTGAACTGTGATCACAATGAAACTTATTAAAACTTCAAAAGTTTTAAAGTTGTGTTTATTGAGGAACTCGATGGGTGTTAAAATCTTAATTTTAATGCTGAAAAGATTAAAGTAATTTATAATTAAATTGTCAACTTTTTACATTTGAATTCTCAATATTTAGTTCAATCTGATGGAAAAAGTCTGAATTTCAGTTCCTTATGAAAAAGTATTTTAAATCAACATGAAAGTTTAACATTGATTATGGATCCAGAGATGCATCTTAATCGGTTAATTGATCCTCTTATTGTAATTATGTTTGTTTTTTGTTTCTGACAAAATAAACTGATGAAACTAATTCAGAGTAAGAATTTAAAATAAACCTCGACGATCTCACGTAGTTCTAGCAGAAATGTCGTAAACAGGAAGTTAAATTAAGTTAACTTAAACGTTTTCTTATTGAAGTAAAACTGGAACAAACGGTGAATCAGCAGATTAAACTTTAGTCATGATCAGTGAAACTTTAAAAACACGTTTCACTCACTAAACATTTTCAACATTCTTTGTTTACGTCCGTGTTGATTTTCGAACCCGTTCATTAAGGAAATACTTTAAACAATACTCGGTAAACGTGGATTCATCCAACAACTTAAAATAATCATTCTTCTTCTGCGGGTTCAAATCAGAACTAATTAAATTTAATTCATTATTATAGAAGTGTCAGAATTATTTTCTCTTTAAATATATATATGAAGAAAAAAAACACTTCCTGGGTCCTGATTGGTCAGCTGGACTCTGATGTCATCAGACTCAATGAGTCTTATAAAAAATAAAAACGTTGAGTTTTAAACCCTCCGATCAGCCGTCAGTTGATTGGCTCGTAGGCCGTCGCCGAGGCCGCCGCCCTCTTACGGACGCAGACGCAGACTCCGCCCAGCAACAGGAGGATCATAGGAGTTCCCAGACCGACCGCCATCACAGCGAGAACCAGCGGGGAGAAGGAGTCGACGGGCGGAGAACCGGCGCCCAGCAGCACCGTCCTGAAGGAGGTAAAGAGGCTTTAACTCTGTTCATCAGAAACAAAACAATTCAAATAGAATAAATCATTTAACATCAAACGGACCAGCTGAAGAACTTGGTGCTGTTGTAGAACGGTTCTCCCGCGAGACCGAAGCTCACGTTGAGTCCGAACGTTTGCGGTTCTGCGTAGAACGCTCGGATCAGACCGGACGCCGCCGCCACCTCCTCGCCGCTCTGAGGCTGCGGGTCGGAGTGACGGCACGGCGTGGCGAACTCCAGAGCCGGGTCGGACCGCCGGTACGACACCGGCTTCCACTGAAGGAAACCCAGAACATCAGAGCTGCTGTTCACCGAGGACACCCACTGAGACACCTGAGAGGTCAACCAGGTTAAAGCAGCTGTTAGTGCTAATACTGCTCTCATCATACGGATTTATTATGTTGTTTTATACTTCTGTTCATCCTGGAGAGGATGTTGAGCTCCTGAGGTTTCTTCTCACTTTCTAACCGTCACCTCATACCGGTGAGATGGTCTGTACTTTCTTTAGTTTATGCTTTTAGTTTCTGTGGTTCAGCAGTTTAACTTCCTGTTGATTGAATTCTTCATCACCTTAAATATCGACGGTGTGAACTCGTCGTCGATCGATCGGTGAACCTCCACTCTGCTCAGAGGATAAGTCCCGCCCACCGCCTGCAGCTCCAATAGGAACCTCGAACGAGTCGCACGCGGTGACACACCATCAAGCCACACCCTTAACTGGGAGGAGTTAGCTGTGTGGAGGAGGCGGGGCCAGGACTGATCCCGCCCTTCTAACTCAAACGCAGAGAGCTGAAAGAAGAAAAGTACATAAAGATTATGTTTTAATAATTCATCTCAAACAATAATAAACGTTACAGGTTCACATTTGACCTGCAGGCAGAGCGACCCGTTGCTGAAGGTCTCGGCGGCTCCACACAGCAGAGCGCTAAGACCCGACATGTTGAGACGAGACCAGGTGAAGTCCTGCAGCTCGTACGGAGGGAAGAGGTCAGAGGTCGGATCGGCTGTGTCATTCATGTCATCATACTCCAACAGCTGAGAAAACAGGAAAGAGTTCAGTTACCAAAGTAAAGGTTTTACTCTCACATTCATACAAACTAAATGTGTAATTCATTCTCCATCATAGAACTACAATTACATGTGTGTCATAAAAAGTTACTAATGAGTCAAATTAAATGTTTATGGTGGACTGGCTGGTGTTGGTAGATTTAAGGTGGACTGGCTGGTGTTGGTAGATTTAAGGTGGACTGGCTGGTGTTGGTCGGTTTAAGGTGGAAGTTTCTGACCCTGCTGAAGACGACAGCCGAGCTGTACAGGATGCTGCTCGCTGGCTCCACCTTCAGGCTGCCGCTGATGTTACGAGCCTCAAACTGAGGCCAGTTCACCTGAGAGAGAAAAACATAGTATAGTACGTCATAAAACGTCTTAGTTTAGTGTAGTACTAACTTTACCAAGGCTACAGAGTAGTACTACCTCTCTGAGGATCTGTTCAGGTCTGTCTCTTCTTTGTCTCTCTGGTATCCACACTGTCCAGGTTATGTTTTACTGAATACTTATAGTAAAAATAGTAACTTTTTATTTGTTAATAAAACACATTGTTGCCACTTTAACTCTTCTGGTCGACCTCCACGGCAGAAGAAGAAGAGCACAGACCTCCACGGCAGAAGAAGAAGAGCACAGACCTCCACGGCAGAAGAAGAAGAGCACAGACCTCCACGGTAGAAGAAGAAGAGCACAGACCTCCACGGTAGAAGAAGAAGAGAACAGACCTTCACGGTAGAAGAAGAAGGCCAAATCCCAATGTCCCCCTTACGGACTCACGGACTTTGAGGCGCGCTCCCACGAAGTCCGTGAGGGTTTAGGGCTGTCCCACTGTCACAT